TAGCAAAGAGAAAGCGGCGGCATTCAACTTCCCTTCAGTACAGGCAGTTCCAAATGAAACCTGTCAGAAAGTGTTTCCCCTGACAGAGGTGCATCTCAAAACTTGATTGGCCTTTGTTTTTTTAATGGATTTTGTTGAGTTGTTTTTAATGAAGGCCTCTGAGCTCTGCTGTCACTTTTCTTTCTGTCTTGTTTGCAAGATCTCCTGGAACTTGGCCTGTGTAGGACTTTTGATTTTAGAGCTCAGCACACTTATTTATTTTTTGCTCAGTGACAAATACAGTTTGACACTCCCAACTCCTGACAACTCCAGTCAGCCAATGTTTGAAATGGCAGGATATTTAATATACCTAAGCAAAGGAGATTGTGCATGGTGCTCAAAGAATTGCTAAGTGTTATAGTCACCTTTTTTTTTTTTTTAAAAAAAATGTCCTCCGTGCTTCTGAATAAAGAACAACGTGGGAGAACATAAACATTCAGGGAAAATATTCATTTTTTTTATAAAGAGGAAGCTTTCATGGCAAGTCTCATTTTTTCAAGACAGCTGTGTAACCTTTAATTCACATGAACACCCACGCACATCTCTTAAAGCCTGCTTCTTCACCACTCTGACAGTTCAAATTTCATCTCTTCACTGTTAAGATTTCTCCAGAGAGTACAGTACTGCATCATTTTGACAAACTTGAATGTGAAGAGATGAATGTTCCTCATCTCTGAAACACTTCAGAGTAAGTTGCTTTAACCAGTTGCCTTTGCTCAGAGGTTATATTTTGTCCTGCCATCTTTTTAGAGATATCAAAGTTCATTTAGTTATTATCAAAGCCAGATTTTATAAAATGGCGGATTCTTATAGTTGGGCTGTGAGAACTGAGAATCTGGAGCCATGTGGAACACCCTGAAGAGCGCAGGGATTCTCGGCAGCAGCAGGGAGATCTGCTCAGCTCCTCAGAAGAAACCATTTCCCAGCCTGGCCAGTCTGAGGATACTGCTGAGCAGCCTTTCCGCTGCAGTTCCTGGAAGCAGCTTTCCTGAGGTGTGCTGGGTACCAGCAGGACAACATGGCTGTGCTATATGCGATGGCATTCAAAATCCTTCTCTAGATAAGGATGCTGGGAAAAAATACAGGATGTTCATGCAAAGCAGATTATTCCCAGCAACTGAAAGTTTCCTTCAGCAGATTGAAAACAATTTTGCAAACAGTAATATAGGAAATAGGAAATATGCTGTTCAAAATGAAGGACAGAAGTAGACTAAGAGTAAGTAAGATACGGAGTACTCAGACTAGTGCGGGTTTTGGCACTTACAGCCTGTGTGTCAAAGGAAGTTCAGGGCTTTTGCCTTGTGTGCAGCCAGCCCAGCCGAGCCTGGTTTGATTCCTCTGCCCCTCTTGGAGAGCCCTGCAAGCTACCAAGAGTATCTTGCCCACTATGCCAAACACAGTAACAACAAGTCTCAAAAAATGGAGTCACTTCTGGGCCCACTCAAGCAAGCAAATGAGCAACTGTAGCACTGTAGCACTGTCCTCCCATTGTTCATCCATTTGCTTGAGTGGGTACCAGTTACATCTCCATTATGAGACTCGTTGTTACTGTTTTTGGAATATTGAATATGCCACAGTAGCTTGCCAGGTTCTTCCGTAGGGGTGGGATACTCTCTGTAGCTAGCCATCAGAGAGGGACGGAGGAATCAAACCTGGGTCAGCCGCATGCAAGGCAAACACCCTACCCACTGTGCTATCCCTCCTTTTTAAATTTTACTATTGAAATTTTATCACATTATTTCTTTACGTAAATTTCAAGTGTACATCATTAAAAAATCAATGTGCATATTTCCCCCTCCCCCTTCCCTCTCCTCTTTTCCCCTTCCTTCCCCTCCCCTCCCCTCCTCTCCTCTCTTCTCCTATCCCTTCCCCTCTGCTTCCCTTCCCTCCACTTCCATTGTCTTTCCTTCTCTTCCCTTCCTTTCTCCCCCATCCCCTTCCTTTCCTTTGCCATAACCTTTAGACTAAATGTTTAGTTCTTCTCTTTGGATTGTTTGCATACTACATGTGAAATAATACAGCTTATCTTTCCTTGTGGTTTTCCTCACTAAACATAATATCCTTTTGGTCCATCCATGTGGTTGCAAATGGTAGTAACATCCTTTTATTTTACAACTGAGTAATATTCCATTATTCGTATATAAAGTATCTTTATCCAAATTCTTCTTCTTTTTAGATTTAAAATGCTTGAAAAAATAAGCTTAGAAGTCTTTGCAGATTAGTCTGAGCATCATCAAAAGTTATATTGTAGCACTGTCCTCCCATTGTTCATCTATTTCCTCCAGCGGGTCCAGTAACGTTTCCATTGTGAGACTTGTTGTTACTGTGTTTGGCATATCTAATTCGTCCCAGGGAGCTTGCCAGGCTGTGCGGGTGTGATACTCTCAGTAGCTTGCTGGGCTCTCCGAAAGGGGTGGAGGAGCCCGGCAAGCTACCGAGACTTCTAAAAATAATTTGCATTTTCAGGAATAAAGAAAGGGGATAGAAAAATACCACTGGTAAATAGGAAAATAACAGGATAAACCAATTACAAGGATATGAGATTATAGATGTTTGCATTTTCTTAGTTATACATTTTAATGTTTTTCTGAAAATGACTTTCCTAAAATGATCTCATCTCCCAAAATGAGATTTATTTTTAATTACTTTTTAAAATAAGAAACAAATGTTTTTACAGGGAAGAAAAACAGTTCAGAAGTTTGTTAAATATTTCCATTAAGTCTTTTCTTTTTGCTCTGAGGATCTTTTGGCCATGCTAAGGGAAACTATCTTTCCCTGTCTAGTACATAGATTTGTGTTGTAATAACTCAGTGTTAGGTTTCCACTCCCTTTGAACAGTTCCTATCTCTAGAATGCAAAGTGCTGGCTCTGTATCATTTTGGACCCAAAACATTGATGAATAGGTTTTCTTCATGTTTATCCTTAAAAATGTAAAGTACAAGTCTTTGAAAACACTGTGTCTTCTACTTGTTTTTCTATTTGTGATCTATACCTGTCTCCTGACTCCCAACCCAACTGATGTTTTTTTTGAAATTTTTTATTAGTGAATCACCGTGAGGTACAGTTACAGACTTACAAACTTTCGTGCTTGTGTTTCAGTCATACAATGCTCAAGTACCCATCTCTCCACCAGTGCCCATTCTCCACCACCGATGATCCCAGTATCCATCCCCACCCCCCACCTCTGTGACAGGGCATTCCTTTTTGTTCTCTCTCTCCTTTTGGGTGTTGTGGTTTGCAGTAGAGGTTTTGAGTGGCCATCATGTACGATCTATAGTCTACTTTCAGCACGCAACTCCCATCCTAAGCGGGTCATCCAACCTCACTTTACTTGGTGTTTCCTTCTCTATCTGAGCTGCCTTTTCCTCCAGCATGCGATTTTGGTTTTTTGGTTATTATAATTTTTCAGATTGGTGTAGTATTTTGCATATGCACATTAAGACATATTTATCTGATACCTAAGGAGATAATTAGGTCTCAGTTGATCCAACTCATTTACTGGTATTAGGAAACATAAGGAAGAGGGAGAATGTTCAAGGTGAAGTTATTTCGTTAGCATGAGTATTTCATTTTCTGTCATTCTCTTAATTGTATATTAATGACTATGGCTGGTTTCCATAGACAAAGGGATTTTTCACCTACCTTGACCTAAATTGCAAGACTACAAAGGAAACGATTTTTCTTTTGAGCAAAACTGGAATAAAGGTGATTACAATGATTAAGGGAATGCTATTAAAAATGGGGTCACCGTAACACCAAATTCAAGAGAGGTTTATGATGGCAGCTGTTTTCTGAATTAATGTTTTCTGAATTAATAAGAACTCTATGAGGAACCAAATAAGCAGAGTGGTTAAATAAATGTCTTTAAGAAAAAAGAATATAGCTATGGATTGAAAACCAGTAAGCCTATTTAATAGGGCTTTAAAAAAGTTCCTGTCATGTGTCTGTACATTCCAGTCATAATTTCAGAGTCTTCTATTGTCTAGGCCTGTCGAAAATGAGTTAAGTGGTTTTTTTGATCTTTGTGACTTTGTCTTTTTTTTTTATTTTCCCAAGAGCACCAATCTGATGTTTAAGATACACACAGTCAGTTTCTTCTCTCAGTGACATTATTTGGCAGAAAAGATTGTGAGAGTGATGTTATTAGTGGTCAGCTTTTACTGTTTATGATGGCTTGAATTGGGGCTGTCATTTTTTACAGAGTTTAGCATAATACTTCTAACAATCATGAATGAAAAAAATTGAGAGACAGATTTTTAACAAAATTCATGAGTACATACATGTAGTTGAAATGACATTCACTGGAGTACAGTTTGTGACACTATATGTTATTAAATAATCTGTATTCAAAGCACTGTTGTTTCACACACACACAGAGACACATTGAAAACCCTTTTTGCTTCTCCTCTGCCTCCACTTGGTGAGTTATATAGTTACGTTGAATGGTTTGAGCCATACAATTACAATTTCATTTTTAAACTTGTAACTTCTAAAAATTCTTTTTTTTTTCCTGTCATCAGAATGTGGCCTCTGAAAACCAGACAGTTTTTATTACAAATAAAGAGCAGCTCCACTCAGACATTGAATAGACAATTAATGTCTGGATTTTTTCTTTTTCTGTGGTGGCTGCTTTTAGATGTGGGATAAAACCACATGAACCAGAGGCCATCATTGTTGATAGTTGGTTGTATATTCCTGCCACATCTATAAAGTATCCTTTTTTAAAAAATTATTTTTTTCTTTTATTGTAAGAGCAATAACTTTCTGTTGTGTGGCTTCTATCAAGAAGCACCGTCAATACAGTATAAAAATACTAAAACTTCAGAAGGCAAAGGGACCATAAATTATCTATCACCTTATCGACTCTTGATTTTTCCTGGGGAGAGAATCTGTGAAAGAGTGAACTACCTGCCTGAAGTCACACAGTGGGTGAAAGTGCTTTTGTTTCTTGTATTCTTCAGATGGCCGCCCGTGCCCTGTCGTTCTCTGGGACTCCTCTTGGTCTCCAACAAGTAATGACACTCACTCATCTGTCAAGCTCACATGGGGGGACTACCAGAAGCTGCTGAAGCAGAAATGTTGGCAGAATGGCCGAATACCCAAGCCAGAATGGGGGTGTACTGAAATACATCACCATGAGTGGTCCAAGATGGCACTCTTTGACTTTTTGTTACAGGTAAGTTTGTCCAATCAAATAAGTGATTTACTAACCCTGACTTTGAGTGTACAAATTTGACATGAGGAATTTTCTGTATCTGTAGACTCTAAAAAGCTAGAATTGAAGCTCTAATCCTTATATTCAGAAAGTATACACATTACAAAATTTTATATCCTCTTGTGGAGTAACCTTTGGGGGAGGTCCTTCAGTCTTTTTATTAATTTTTGAAGATGTAATTCTTCAGTTCTTCAATGATGCAGTAGCCATATTTATCAAAGCTACAATTTATTGAGATAACTCATCAATGTTTCCAGGTCCATAGTCTTAATCTAATTTGGAGGAGAGCAAGATGAAATTTAATGAGATTAACCCAAGTTCTTACAAACACTCAAACTGAGTCTGGGTCTTCCTGAGATGTCCTGATGGTAAAAATAAGTATTCTGTTTATCATTTCACACTGTAAACCTCATAACTTGTAGCTGACATTTTATTTATTTCATTTACAGTATCTTTCAAATGTTTCACTACTGTCAGACATCAGATAATAATAACAACTGGCCATTTAAATAACTGAGTGACTCAGCATTCTGTAGGTGTCTCTTCTTATTTCCTTTCAATAAAGATCTTATATCTCTTATTCTGATGTCTTTCCCTTTTTCTGTTTAAAAAAATGAATTTTGTTTTTCTGTTATTGTTAATCTTGAAATTTAGAACTGCCTAGGATATTCCATAACATTTTTCTTTAATAAATATGTAAGTGAGACATTTCAGCAAGAGAAAGAAAAATGCAGGAAGTCAGTTTAATGCGCAGTCATAGGAACTTTCAAGGGAAGAATGGCTTAGGCAATCAGAACCACAGCACCCTCAGAGAGGAATGGTCTGGGGAGTAGAACATTTGACTTGGCAAAGAAGAAGCAGGGCTGAGTCACCAAATGCTGGTGACTGAGGAGTTCAGCTAAAGGGACTCATTTTCCCATTCAATTAACATCTTAACTCTGTGAGAAAGATAAGTTGTCTCCATTTTGTAGTATGGAAATTGAAGCATAATAATATTCTCCATGACGGGGAAGAGTCTGTGATTTTACCTTACTCTTGTAAGCTAAGAAGTTAACCTTGCATACCTTCATAGATGCTAACATAATATAAAAAGACTATTAGATCAGAGACAAATGACTTGATCATGCATGGTATGACAGGTGAGACAAGTGTTATGCTCTTATCTTTTCAAGTTCCATTGCGGTGACAAAAAGCAGTCTTGGTAACCACAGTTCAGGTCAATGATTAGGAACCCTAACTTCTTCCAACCTTTTAGAAATTTTGGCTAATTTAAATCACATATTTTAAATGTTTTTGTCAAGAAATGGTCAGATTATTTTTTTGGTAATAAAATGATTTACTAATAGGGAATGAATGAAAGTTCCCAGGGTGACGTATATAGGTATATAGGTCAGCTCACTGTATTACCCCAGATGTTAAGTAAGTTGTCACCAAGTGGGCCAAATTTTCTGCGATGACCAGAGAAAGAGAAACAAGAAATCTGTTATCTGCTCTTGATGTCTTTGAGAGAGAAATGACCTCGAGATTTGTAGCTGTTGGTTACGAGTTGGGCGTAGTGAGAAGAAAGTAAACCCTCTTAGAAGTTGTGCTTAGTGACATTTGTTTTAACTCTGGAATCCTAAATGAAAGCTTAGACTGTGCCATTTTCCTTCCTGTTTTTACTGAGGGACATTGTAATATATTGTAGGATACAACCACAGAATAGTAGTGGTAGTATAAAATGGCTATTCTTGCTCCACTCCAATATTAATTTTGTTGGGAATATATAGTACATGAAACAAAAAGGCATATCCATGTAAGAATGGTTAGCTGAAATTGTCTAAATCCTAATTGTTATAAAATCAGAACAGAGGGAACATTTGCAATAAAAGATATTTTAAAAGAAAATGAGTTTAAGTAGGAGTGTAGGCTGCAAATGATAGAAAATGACAGGGGGAAACTTCAGGATAAATGGAATTAGTGATATTTGTATGGTCTGTAAGGTATTACAAGTTACTATCTGAAGCAGAATTCTTTAGCAGAGAGGGTATTTAGGGAGAATAGTGATATTCTTGCCAACAAGATAAAATAGAACCTGGAAAAAGAGAGATGCTTGTTCACTTTGTAACTCTCTTGGTTCATTACTCAGAACAACAACAAATTCTAACTGAGCCAGTTTTCCTTCATAATGGATTAGCAACTTTTATCATCATTGTGTTCACTCTGTGGCCTTGAGAAAGAATCTGGGTGTATTAAGTTTTCAACAAAGTTAAATACTTCAGTTGGGGGGAGGGAGAGAGAGAGGGAGGGAGGGAGAGAGAGAGAGAGAGAGAGACAGACAGACAGACAGAGACAGAGACAGAGAGAGACAGAGACAGAGACAGAGACAGGAGACAGAGACAGAGACAGAGACAGGAGACAGAGACAGAGAGACAGAGACAGGAGACAGAGAGTGCACAGTAGGTAAAGTGCTTTGCTCTCTGTAAAGCGGGTAATCCTCAATACTACATATAGTCCCATGAGATCCACTAGGAGTGAGCACAGAGTCAGAGATAAACCTTGAGCATCACTAGATGTGATCCACTCCCCTTTCAAAGTTAAATACTTAAGATTCTTAAAATTTGAATTATCTGACAATCACGAAACACTCTCACTGTATATCTAAGTACCAAATACGTTAACATATTTTATCAGCATAACAATTCTTTAAAGTAGGTATACTATTTTTCCTATATTAGAAATGAAGGAACCATGACAAAAAGAAATTAACAAACTTCGTCATGGTCACATGAACAAAATGCAGTAGACTATTAAGTCAAACTCAGAAGTTCCAACATAAGAGACTAATTGCTGTGCAGTGCTATCTCTCTTATGGTTCATTGTCCAATTTTCCAATTAAAAAAACTGGGTATGTTTTTGTGATATTTAACCCTTTGTACATACAGCAATAAATATATTGCATTTCTTAAAATTGTTTGTAATGAATTTTATTTTAGATAAAATTTATATTTTTCTAGACATAAAATATGTAAAAGTATATATTTTATATATATTTAAGTCCATATATAAATAAAATACATAAATGTATAAAAGATTATCTCTGAATCGATACTTAGCATTATATAATGTTTAAAAGAGGTATTTATGGGGCTGGAGAGATAGCACAGCAGTAGGGCGTTTGCCTTGGACGCGGCCGACCCGGGTTCGATTCCCAGCATCCCCTATGGTCCCCTGAGCATCGCCAGGAGTAACTCCTGAGTGCAGAGCCAGGAGTAACCCCTGTGCATCTCCGGGTGTGACCCAAAAAGCAAAAAAATAAAAATTAAAAAATTAAAAAAGAGGTATTTATAAAAAGTGTTTATCAAACAAATAAATAAAGAAATGAGCAAATTTAGGCCATTTTCCACAACTTTCATAGTAAATAATTATCCTTTACTATCTGCATCAGTTACATTAAACTTTTTTCTTTTCGCTTTTTGGGTCACACCCGGCGATGCACAGGGGTTACTCCTGGCTCTGCACTCAGGAATTATTCCCGGCAATGCTCAGGGGATCATATGGTATGCTGGAAATCGAACCCGAGTTGGCCGTGTGCAAGGCAAACGCCTTACCCGCTGTGCTATTGCTCTAGCCCCAAACTTTTTTTTTTTTAACTAAAGGAAGAGTATATGCTTTACTTAAATGGTGCTTGAAAATGTATTAGGGTGTATTGGATGGATTTTTGGAACAATCTTAGAAAAGTAATGCCAGAGACAAACTAAAATCACTTGCTTTGTTACAACAAGGCAGGGGACTAAAAAACCCAACAGTTAATTTTCTGTGCACAACGTTCTTCCTGTTTCACCAAATTAGCAAATCCACATTCACAAAGCCTGTGCCATTTTACTGGGTCTGTAAAATGTTTTAGTGGCACAAAAAGTCTTTTATTCTTGAAGTGTGTGGGTATGAAATGCATAGACAAAAATTTATTTCCATGGGAACAATGAGAGCAATGTTCTAGAGAATATTTGATTCGATCATATTTATTTCAAGAGATTATACATAATTAGGTATAATACAGGAGAAAATCCTGCATTGTAGGAAACTTGTTTCTTCACCCAAACATATTATGTATAATGGTTATAAACTGAGAATCTATAGCTAACCAGTAACATTTAAATTCCAACTCTGCCAGTACTAAGTAATTTTTTTGACACTGAAAAGCTACTTAACCTTTCTCTGTTTAGTTTTCTTGCTTCAAGAAATTGTAAAGCAGTAAAAAAAATATTATATATATATATATAGTACATTTGAGAGAATTAAATATTTTTATTTACATGAAGAACTTTGGTTTCTTTTGGGTCACAGCTGGCAATGCTCAGGGGTTACCCCTGGTTCTGCATTCAGGAATAAGGTCTGTAAGTGCTGGGGGACCAAATGGTATACCAGAAATTAAATCCAGATCGGTCATAGAAAAGGCAAATGCCCTACCTGGTCTGTTATCACTCCCACCCCAAATAATTTATACCCCAAATAACCCTGCCCAATATGTAGGATTCCAAGAGTATTATGTAAACAAATTGATATCTGAAATAAGAGTGATATTAAATATATTAATATAAGGTAAAAGGTAAAGGCCCTCCCATTGATCATCGATTTGCTCGAGCGGGCCCAGTAACGTCTCCATTGGAGACTTTGTTGTTACTGTGTCTGGCATATCGAATACGTCACGGGAGCTTGCCAGGCTCTGCCGTGCAGGCGAGATACTCTCGGTAGCTTGCCGGGCTCTCCGAGAGGGGTGGAGGAATCGAACTCGGGTCGGCCATGTTGGCTGCGTGCAAGGCAAACACCCTACCGCTGTGCTATCGCTCCAGCCCATATTAATATAAAATTTTCATTTACTAAAGTACAAGTCACTTCCGTATTTTATTTTTTGACACTTGCGTATTTTAAATATTTGTATTTTATTTTGACTAGCCTGATTTTTTTAAAAACAAAATGAG